TATAAAAAATATATTTTGCATTGTATAAATTCACTTTTCCACATCCAAAATGTAATTGTTATATGTAAACAATGTTTGTAAATCCCAGGCCCTGAAGATGATCTCAATAAAGATTGAAACGTTGGCACGATAAAGAAAATGTTTTTCTGAAACCTACATCACACCAGACCGCATCTCATGATTTCTGAATAAATATGAATAATTAAATATTAATCCATGTATGTTTAGTGGTCTAATTGACAAAATTACTTATTTCAATTAACTATTCTTTTTATGTAAGGTCTTGGTTGAGATGAAAAAATTGAAAAATTGGCTAAAAGAGGGAAAATTCGAAAGGTTGTAGGTTTCGATGGGGAGTTGGTGTCCGAGGGATCAAAGTCACGATAGCTCAAGTGGTTAGAGCAGCAACGTATTGAGCCGAAAGGTCGTGGGTTTGAATCCTGCTTGTGACACTAACTTTTTCATCCCAACCAAGACCTTACATAAAAACAATTAGTTGAATTATTAAAGTGAAATAATTATTAAGCTTTATGACATCACTTACCTTAACTGAGCATGCGATGCATTGCACAAAAGCTGGAGTGCACAGCATGATTTGGTTGAAATTTGACAAAAACCCTCGTATTGAATGCGGAATCGAACCGAGTATGCCTTCATAGTTTGCATTAACACTGCACCTTTCAAATAGAAAACAAAAAAGTTAAAGGAGAAATTCGATTGTAACTCAAATTACATTTACTTTTCTCTATCTTGCAAAAATGATACAAAAAGCTCGACAGCTAATGACGAAGCAATGTAAGAAACACCAGGTCTCGTAACTGTACATTGCTGATCCAAGGTTCGGTCAGTTTTTGAATTCCCCGGCGCTGTGACATCATTACAAAAGTAACAGCCGAGTTTCAATAATTCTCCTGATTCTGGCTGTTCTACACCGTGTCTCATGACCAAATATGAGTCAAATCCCAGTGCCACTGTAAATGCCAGCTGATATATTCTATTAGCTTACTATAACATTAATCATAATTGTTAATATGAAAATAAAGTTTAGCATATCACCTTATTGAGTGATGAACAAATTACGGTAGGGAGCCAACGGCTTTCTCTTGAATCTGTCAATAAGAAAACAGCATCATGGTCTTTGATTAATTGATGAAGCTTATCAACGTCTTCCATGGCTCCTAGTGGATGCCCAGGCATTGGAATATCTAAAATAACACCTTCTGAAACCTAAAATAAATTTTAAAGATTAAGATTTTTTAATGGCTTTATAAACGTTGTACATTAGCCAAGGAACTTGAGATATATATGTGATGCGTATTTTTAGGGGGGGTTGCCTGAAAAAAAGATCCAGGGGCGACAGTGGGAGTAGAAACTCATGGTTGTGGGGTCCACGAGCCGAGAGTCTGGCACGACAAAGTAATTTAAATAACTTTTGTTTTAATATAGTTTTCTACTTTTGATGCACATGTATTTTAAGGTGATTAATTGTAGTGACTGAGCAACGACAAGAAGTACAATAGGTTAAAATATATTTTATTTGTGTATTTATTTTTTTTTAAGCAAAAAATAAAGTTGATATTCTTTCTTGCACACCAAAAAACCTCTGAATACAATTTTTTCGTAAAATCAAAAATGCTTTTTTAATCTAAAATATTTAGCCTTCAAAAAAAAAATTTATGGACAATTCCAGAAATAGCAAAACTTTCAAACAACTCCATTGATCCATTCGAAACTTTACAGGGATTTAGAACCCTATGAACTATACACAATGGGGCAAACTTGGTAAATTAGCCGAAAATATAAAATAAAATGTTTGAGAAGTTTTTGTTGGTTTATGCTTATTTTTCTCACTCACATTGCCATAAAATATAAACCTTGCCTGAAAGAAAAGAAACTTCTGTTTCTAAAAATTGCAATAATGTTGAATTTGGATAAAATCCAGAGGAATTGTGAAGTTTTAAGTGGAAAACTGGACATTGGAAGAAAAATTGCCTCTGGCTAATAATGCTCAAACTTTTTAATTTGTTATAAAAATTTCTATTTTTAATTTGGTTTTTTGCTTTTGATGTGCATGCATACCAAGTTTATATATCATAGTGACTGAGCGACGAAGTAAGCTAGGTCAAAATATTTTTGTAGCAAGAACAAAGTTGATATTCTTTTCTTGCACATCAAAAAATCTCTGAATACAAACTTTTGGGAAAAGCATTTTTTTTTTTTTAATCTCAAGCCTTCAAAGTTTTTTCCCCTCCCAAAATCACAATAATATTGGTAACTTTGAAAAGACCACACCGATCCACTGGTAACTACAACCAAGAACCCTACAAACTATATACAATGGCTCAAATTTGGTTTTTGTTAAATTAGAATCAAAGATATAAAATAAAATGTTTAATAAGTTTTTGTTGATTTCATCCTTTTTTTCTCATTTATACTGCCTTAAAGTCTAAACCTTGTTGAAACATCCTGAAAGAAGAGATTCAGCCTTTTAGCAATTGCAATAATGTTGAATTTGGATTAAATCTAGAGGAGTCATGAATTTTTAAGTGGACCCGAACATCAGAGAACTCAGACAAAAAAAAAATCTTTTTGTTATAAAAATTCATATTTTTAATATAGTTTTCTGCCTTTGGTGTGCATGTATTTCATGTTATTATACTATCGTAGGGATCAAGTGAAGCAGCAAAGTAGGTTAAAATATATATAAAGTTTTTTAGCAAGAAAAAAAGTGTATAGTTTTGCACTCAAAAAACCCCTGAATTTTGGGGAAACAAATGTCTCACAAATTTTTAGACTTCCTTTCAGCATTCCTTCTAATTTTTTGCTTTTGTTTTTTTAATCACAAAAATAGCTATAACTTTGCAATAACCCCAGCGATACACTGGTTTATATATGGTTATGATGCAGAGCTTTAGAACCCTACAAACTACAGGCCATGGCACAAACTAGGTCTTTGTAAATAAATTATAGCAGAAGGTACAAAAAAAATGTTTGATAAGTTTTTGTTGAATTTTATTTTTATTTTTCTCACTCGTAGTGATATTACAAATAACCCTTGTTGTCATAATATAAAAGATGGAAAATTCAGCTTTCCAACTCTTATAATAACTATATGTATATAGTAGTCATAAAAGACAATGACAATAAATGAATCATAAATATAAAATATAACAAAAAGAGAGAAAATTTGAAAGATTGTAGGTTGAGATGAGGAATATCGAAGTCATGATACCTCAAGTGGTTAGAGCAGTGGCGTATTGAGCCGTATCATGGGTTCGAATCACTTTCATCACACTAGCTTTTTCATCTCAACCAAGACCTTAGATTAAAAGTATAATTAATTAAAATTCTTATGATAATATTGAATTTGGATAAAATTCAAAAGAATTATGAACTTTTAAATGGAACACAGGACATCGTAGAAATAAAAATAAATAAAAAAACTTGCCCCGAGCTGAATCAGATAGTTTTTTAAAGGCTATAAAAATTCTTATTTAAGGGTTTTCAAGAATGCTTAAGGGATGTCAGTGGCCGACCGCTTTTGGTGTTGGCATGGCACTCAACACTGTAAGGTAAAGGTCTCAGGTTTGAATGAGGCCCTGCATTTGAACATGACATACAGTTTTAAAAAAAAAAATTTTTAAACACCGAAAACACCACAAGTTATTAAATGTTATAATCTCGTAGTTGAAATACCCTTGTAAAAAAAATCATACTCGGGAAAACAAGGCGCTGGACTACGTTAAACTTGCACGACCGATCCGTCACGACGGTTTTAATCTATTCAAGCGCCTTGCTAACTGAAAATGTGTCGGAATCTTCAGAACGTACCAAATACTGAAAGCAGTCCATAATGGAATCAGGAGAGATCAAATATAGGCGAGTTGTGATGTGGTTAGGCAAAAAAATTAATTAATTTAAAAAAATAATAAAAAACGAAATACTCGGGAAAACATGACGCTTGACTATAATGTTCTACCTGCCAAATTTCACCGTTTTCATGGACTAAGGTAGAAAAGAGACAGGAATATAAATATTTTATCACCCTCCCCTAAGTTTGAACTATTGCATGTAACATTACCAAACTGGGCGATGTTGATATTTTGCTAAATGAGTTGGCGAACAAAGTTCTTAAGTACAATTACGGAACATAGAATTCGTACAAACATATTTTTTTTTAGCACTTCAACTTTTTAACGAACTGCCATTGGGGAAGAAAAGCCAATTATATGAGTCAAAATGGTACAGATAATCTATTTTTTGTTTACGAGAATTTTGTCCTACCATGTATTCCAAAAGTTAAAACCTTGTTGTTTCCCATGAACGAAAATTAATTAATAATTAACAGACTAATAGACTTTTAATTTAAGAATTGATAAAAGTATTGTTTTTATCACATATTTAAGGCCTTTTAACAAGGCATGCTAAAAAACAGACAATGTTGAAAGAATGGATAATATTTTTAATATACAAAATAAAATAAAAATTAATGCATGTTTACATATCTTATAAAGTTTTTTTTAAATATAAAATAATGTAATTAATAATGAACGGTATATTTAACAAATTAATAAAGGTACAAGTCTCGTAAAAATCAATGGCGGAGTGATCCGAGACAGTCCAGAATTCAGGAAGGGAGAGACGTGTTATGACATTTCCACAACAAAATATTCACTTCAAAGGAAGAATTGAAAAACTTTTTTAAAAATTTTGAAATTTACAGATTTTCAATAAAAATATTTTCAGGTTTCCCAGAAAAATTAATCACATGAGAAAATATTTAACCATTGTGTTCTCTTGTGTTGTATATTATCACTGTATAATATTTTTTTAATGAGAAATAGCCTGCTGTTTTGTCATCTAAACGTTGATGTATTAATAGAATAGAATAAATAAACTGAAATATTCGGGGAAAAAAAGGCGCTCGACTGCGTTAAACTTGCACGACCGATCCGTCACGACGGTTTTAATCTATTCAAGCGCCTTGTTAACTGAAAATGTATTTTGAACTTTTTTTTCCGGGCGTACCAAATATCACAAACAGTACACAATGGAATTAGGCGAGATCAAATGTAGGTAAGTTGTAAAGAAATTATGAAAAAAAAATCTTACAATGCATTGGAATTGTTTTTTTATCAATAAAAATATTTTTTCTCCTAATTTACTCGAAACAACTTTTGATTTTTGCCACTTTTGATACATTTAATCTCATTTGATACAATCTTGCATATTATTTTCGTAACCTAGATAAATATACATACAACAAAGTTCCTAGGGCTCATTGATAAGAATGCTTGGACACTTTTCTATCACCAAAAAAAGATGGTCACCCATTTGAGAACTTTTGTTGGGTGTTTGGTGATCACTATTAGCAGTAAATACTTTTTCTTATAAACTTACCACTGTTGGCAGAATTGTTTTTAAGGCGTTTGCAGCAGCAATAGCTTTCTTTTTAGCCCCTTTACCCATGTCACAATCCTCGTACTTGTATAACGATTGTCTGACAGGATTTGAAAATGAAACTTCCCCGTTATCGACAAATGTTATATGCCTAACACCCCAACCCTAAAAAACAATTTAAAGACAGCATATCTAAAATATAATTAATAAATATTTATATCTCACCAGTAAACATCTTGCTAGAGAACAGCCTAACGTACCAGCACCGAGTAAAAGACATTTCTGTAACTTGATTATCTCTAAATTAATATCTGGCAAAAGCCTCCACTTCATTAATTTAAGATTCAAGTCAACACTAGATTCTGCTAGTCTATATTATATTACGTTATTCAATTAATATCTCAAAGTGTTTTTAAATAAAATATTAAATTTGAAAAAACTATTACAATCTAACCTCATAGGATCTATACTATTTTGCAAATTGACTTTCCGTGAACCAAACTTTCCTCGGTTGTTTCTCTCCCAACCGACCCACTTTTGGTCATTAATATCTCCTGAAACAATAAAATAAAAAGCAATTGTCTATAAAATTATTCAATCAATAAATAACAAGCTTACCATGCATGTTGATTTTAATGACAAAACTCGACTTGAACTGTAAACCAACTCTTAAAGATATAATATTCACTGGGAGACTTGTTTTTCTAAAAACATATTTTTTGACATATATTAATAATTTTAAAAGTCTATAATGGCTTTCATTTTGTTTTGTAGTGTTAGGAAATTTTGAGATTAATGGATACAATTAAAATTAATACCACTGACAAGAAAAACATCTCATAAAGAAAGATGGTCTGGAATAAGGCCTGAATATATTTTTTGGCCACTTATTTGTTTTGTTGCAAGCCTTTTGAAAGATTTTTTGAGAAGAATGGTTGTGCTCAGTCTTATTGATAACTGCAACCAATTTTCAAAAAATCACTGGTGATAAACGGGTTAGGGTACTCTGGTATTTATTTTTCTTAGTTTATCTCAAATATAAAGTTATGGTGATAGAATCCAAAATTCAATTGTTTTTAACAATTAATACTGATTTATAAGCTCAATTCTTCAAATGTATATACATATATCCACACATAAACAAAGTTCTGCCTATCACTTCGCAGTCCACCGGCAATGCCAGTTTTTGTAATTTATAAATTATCAGCAGGCCTCGAGAATCACCCACTCTGGGTGTTGGCCCGGGGTCAGACCTCGGTCTTATCTGTTGAGTGGCTGAGGGTGGGCTCCAGGGACTATCAACAGCCAGGTCATTTCATCAGACAACACAATCAGTCTCCCAATCCATTCACACTCTCGCCCACTCTTCAATACATTCTTTCTTATTTACCATTCACTCCAGGTGGTAATCGATATTCCTCTATCACCCGTTACACCTATTCTATAATCCGTCATTGATCCTCTCACTACACATTCACACTAATAAATACATTCACACTCAACACATGCTAGATACACAAAACTATCAGTTATATACAATAAGATAACCGTTTCCATCAAAAATCAGAACAGGGGATCCAGATACTTGTTGCCATACTCAAGCACAATTCTCATATAGGCTGGAATTTGTACAGGCTTTCTATAAGGGGCCAAATAGTTCCACCCTTCAATTAGGTGGGACACATCGAGCATTTTCTACATGCTGGACACATGCTTTGGCCTAAAAGTAGCAATTTTTTAACAATTAATAAATTCTTGAACAAAACATGTAACAAATTTTAGATCAGTTTTCTTCCAACATTCTCCAAAATTATGAACAGTCAAATTTTACCTCTGGTTGAAAAGAACAAAGTGCTGAACCTATTTTAATATGGCTTTATTCAGGGTGCACCTACGTTTCAACCGTTCTCCTAAAACTACAAACAATATTTGTGGAAAAATTGATCAAAGTAACTGTACAATCCTTGTTTTATTATTATCTTATCTTGATCAGATACAACTATGTGGAATAGAGTGGATCAAGATAAAAAATAAATTTTAATAACAACCTACAGAATAGAATATCAACAACAATATTATCAATATAACATGATATAGATTTTTATTGTTTTATTAGATTTCAAAAATATTTTTTGGGTCAGTCAATTACTCTATTACTCGTTAAAGCTTGTACTTCAATTTAAATTTAGTTCTTCAGCATGTAAACTTGTTTTGTCTTATTTAGATAATCAAACAATGTGGTGCAAACAAGTCCTCTTCTCTCTCCTTATCAAGAGGAGCCACTCATGGCTCCACCCTTAGCCCTTTGATGTTTTCATTGTTCATAAATGACATCTCAACTTCTCCTAACTGTTTAAAACACCATATTTTTGATGATGATGGTCAATTAATTTTGATTAATTGCATTATCTCAATTGGAAAAATCAAGTTGGGTAAATTTGTAATTAGTATGGGTCTTTTTACTTCCCAAACCAACTTTCCTTATCTTACACCTTATTCCTTAAAAATAAAATCACTTTTAACCCCTTCTTTCTTGTGACAAAATTTTCTTAAATTTGCTGTTTTTCAAATATTTTCTTTTTAAAAAGCTTTTATTGCTTGTACTTGTTATATATTAAACATTAAAACACAAGCTCATCTATCTGATGAAGATTAATACTGAAGCATAAAAGAAATCACCTGTGATAAGCGATTAGTGCTAACACGTTTCTTAAAGGCCATCCTGGAGAACAATCTTGTGTGCTCGGATCAACCAAGCAAACATATAAACTGTCATTTGCTTCTAAAATAAATAAAAAAATCAATTAACATAATTTTTAATGAATCAATCATTATTTCATACCTGGGTCTGAACATTTAACTAGTGCCTCCAAGGGCTTGCTAATTAACTGGCCATCTATTAACTGAGCACTAAATATTAATTTATAATTACAAGAAAGAGTACTGTGTGTCGTCAACAATGATTGAATCTAAAACAATTGTTATATAATAAAAATATTTAAATTAGCATAATGGGCTTTGTTTAAAACCTGATCGCTAGTAAATTTTTCGTTTAAAAGCTGAGGGCCTTGGACAATAGTGAAATTCAATGATGATAAGACAGGAAAACAAAACCAATAATAAAACTCATACGTCTTTAAGTTCTGAAAATAGAATAATTGTAGAATTGTAAATAAAATCATCAAATTAAAATGTAAAAATTTTTAACCAACAGCGAAGGTGATGAGAATGAAAGTATTTAATGTAGAAGGGTCTTGAATCGCATCACCGGATTTGATCATACTCCATATCAGCTGGCTTTCTGTTTTAACCAACAGATTTTTGTCCAAGTCTTTAAATTTCTGAAGTGTGTTCATGTTAATTAATTTCCCCGACATTTTCTCCAGGTTTGAGGTAACGTCTGAGTTCTGCTTGCAGAGTTTCTCAAGCGAGTATGACTCAGAGGGACTGACACTGGAATAACAAATTAATAAAAGACAAATCTTACACACAACTATTAGACTGTAGAATTTAAAGTTTATATAGCTAAATGAAAGATAAATTGATAACATAAATAAAATATTAAACTGTCTATAACTTTACACTTTTGCTGCTCATTTTTACATTTCATTATCTGAAATCTCTTTGATTCTGTTCTAGATGTAGATGTAGATGTAATTCCCTAATTTCGTGGTCCGCTTGACCAATTAATATATTACAATTAATTAAAGTTTTTAGTTGAGATAAAAAGTCAATGGCACCCACGATTTTCGGTTAGATTCGCCGCTGCTCTACCACTTGAGCTATCGTGACCTCGATCCACTCGGACACTAACTTCCCATCTCAACCCCACCTTTTGAATTTTCCCTCCTTTTTGCCATTTTTCAATTTAGATGTAATATTCAGGATTCTCGGCGACAATTGAAATCGAGGTCACGATAGCTCAGATGGTAGAGCAGCGGCGTATCAAGCCGAAGGTCGTGGGTTCGAATCCCTCTCGTGCCATTAACTTTTTTTCATCTCAACTAAAAACCATAATTAATTGTAATGTTTAATTGGTCAAGCGGACCACGAAATTAGGGAATTGAATTCTTACTTGCTGTTCATCAATAATCTTTGGTCTTATGAATTTTTAAAAACTAAAATTGTGCATACCAAGTGCATCAAACAGCATATTTTGCGAGCGCCTCGTCTCTTTTAAACCTTGTTTATTCTCATAAATCAAAATTGAGCAAATGTTGTATTAAATACTGACCATATTGCTTTCAACAGTTTGAATGCTAAACTTAAACTGATTTGAAGTCACATTCAAGTTAAACCGATAGCAAAAACACTGAAGCCCAAACAAAAAAGATTAATTAAAAGGGGAAAAAAACAAGATTTATTGCAAGTTATAGCATAATAAATGGATATTTTTATTTCAATTAATGGTAAAATTATGATCATGTGTCAGTTGTTCTCTTGGTTCGTACCCAGGTTAATTATACCACTTTTGTAGAACCGCATTAAAGTAACTGATTCCATTTGGAATGAGACAACTGTTATATTATTAATATTTTCGTTTAATTTTTCAGCAAGAGCTCGAGGACAAGCTTAAAGAAGCGGAGTCTAACCTCGTAGTTATTGACTTCTACGCCACGTGGTGTGGCCCTTGCAGGATGATTGCACCGAAGCTCGAGGTATAACGTCAAAATTAATTTGTCATGGAGGGGAAAAAGATTGTTTTACACAATTGAGGCAGTTAGTTTTACAGGGTATACAAAAAAACGTTTTAGAGCCGTGCATTACGGTTTTTTCTCCTCTAGGTTGCCAAATATTTAAATTTTAAATTGAGCCCGTTTTGAAGCAATCTGTATAGTTAACCAATCATTTTTGTGGAATGAGTTGAAATTACTCTCACTTTATTGGTTCAAGTCCCACCTATTTTTGTAATCTTATTGCAATATTCTGGTTTTTTAGGTGGGGAAAAAGTAAAATGGAAATATTGATCTAAACCCATGAGTTTGGACACATTTTTATGCTGGATTTAATTACTTTTGGTCCAAAACAGCTTTCTTAGTCGTAATGCACTGAGAAGTTGTAAAAACTTAAAACAAATTTTAAATCATACATTAAAATATGTGGCATAAAAATAAATGGTGTTTGGTAAAAAAAAAAAAATCATTTTAGATTTAAAATATTTTTACCACGAAATTTAGTTAAACTTATTTAAAAAAATAAAAAAATTGTTTTGCAAAAAAATTGGATTGGGCATTTTGAAACAAATCACATCAATTTAGAAGAGAACATTTTCACACAGTCTTCTATACTTTTAATTAAATGATGAATTTATTTTATTAATGTAAGATTGTGTAGCTTTGGTGATAGTGATAAATCTCAGAAATCTTGGCAATTAAACTACTTTTTATTGTTAGACCACCTTATTACTTAAGCAATGACTCAACTGGCTTGCAAAAAAATTGCTTCTTACATCATTAGCCTTGACTTTTTTTAAAATTATACGTTGGACTTAAACATCGGACAAGTTTTAAAGAATTTACATTCAGGGTGTTATTGACTTAGTAGATCAGACTCCATCAATTTCAAGCTGTGAGTACTGGTTTAGTTGGTTCAAAAGAGGTGATTTTGACAGAGGACAAGAAGCGCAAAGGGAGGCCAGAAACATTTGAAGATGTATCTGCTGGTCCAAAGGACAAAATGGAAAAATTTTTTTTGCATCGAATCAACTGGTGATGAAAAGTGAATTTATTACAATCCAAAGCATAAGAAATCATGGGATAACCCTGGCCATCATCAATGGCGAAGCCAAATATCCATGGATCAAAGCTCATACTCTGTATTTGGTGGGATCAGCTGTGCGCAGTGTATTATGAACAGTCTACTTGTTTTGATCAATGTCTGTTTGAGCAGCACTTCCATTCTTACAAAGAATTTTAAAAAAGTGTCGATTCTTTCATTGCATATAAAAAACAGTCGTTCTCTCATCACTGAATTTTATGCTTCCAGAAAGAGAAAAAAAGAGATTGACAACTTGTGTAATCAATTTGTTATCATTTTTGCACAATAAAGCTACAATTTTAGCTCCATAAAATCCTTTAAACTTGTACCCCCCTTAATGTTATTTACCGATTGATAATAAAATGTGTTAAAATATATATGTTTTATTTTATTTTTTAGGAAATGGCAGCTTTGTATCCTGATATTATGTTTTTGAAAGTTGATGTCGATGAATGTGAGGATATAGCCGCAACTTATGAAATTAGCGTTATGCCCACGTTTATTTTCATCAAAGAAAAACAAAAAGTAAGACTCATAAATATTAAAAACTTAAATAAAATATTTTTGTTCTTTTCTTAAACATTCTTTTTTTTTTTTTTTTTGTAGATTGAATCATTCTCAGGGGGCAATTATGAAAAACTGAAAGAAGTCGTCATACGATTGAAATAATGCATCACTGCCGCTATTTTTTTTTTTCACTCTACCAATTTACTGCATCATTTTTCTATGCTAGCACAATATTAACATTTAATATCTTAAAAATAAATGTATTAAAAAGTTGACGTGCCTTGTTGGTGAAAATGTTTTATTTGCATCTTATAAAATAAAAATACTTCAAGTAGTTAACCTTTTTGTAATTGATGTGCTATATATTAAGTATTGTTATTTAAACCTTTTGCAATGCTGTAATGAAAGAAAAAAACTCTGAAAACTGGAATAAAATTATTTAAATCTAAATCTATTAGTTATTAATCTGTCTATTTATGGAAAAAAAAGATCAAAAATTATATAAAATTACAATAAGTTATTCAAATGTCAGTCAAATGACCCAAAACTAAACAGTCAAGAATACAAAAATATAATAATTTATAATTTAAAAACATTAGACAAAAAAATAGATCACAAGTTGATAATAACTGCAATGGATAACAAAACTTGTAGCCAAGAAAAAAATCTGGATCACTTTTAAAGCTAGTAAAAAAATTTTTTTAAACCGACAAGAGTCTGAGAAAGGGTCTGCGACATTTCAGTACCAATTAATCTGCCAAACATCTGCGATAGATAATATTCCAAATACATTCGTCCTATGTTGGGGAACGTAAAATAGCTCACGAGAGGGAGTTATTAAGGGAGCTCACTCTCAATGTTTACATTCATTTTGAAAAGCAAATATTTACATGCCCTCCTTTGTACCCCTCGATCATGAGCGATCCGCTGTTTGATCCATGCGGCCAAACAATACTAGCACACTCCAAATGGCAACGAACAAGTGATTGATAAAGGATTTTTGTAGCAAGCATTTATTTATTTTTTTAATCTACCGTCTGCTTTCTAATGAAGCCCAAATTTTTACATACTTTTTTTTTTAACAGCTTCAAGGTGATCATGAAAATCGCAGTTCTTATTAAAAATAACTCCAAGATCTGAGATGGAACCTACGTTGTAAATTGGATGACCGTTTAATTTGTAAACAAATAAATCAAGCTCATTCGCGACCTTTTTCTTTGAAAATCTTAACACCTTACACTTTTATTCATTTATTTTAAGATTATTATTGTCACACCAAGACCAGAAATCCAGATCCTGTGGTAAACTGTATTGCTTAAATTGGGTGAAAGATTTTTAGGTCGAAAGCTAAAAGTGAAAATGAGTTGTTAATGGATGATCCAACATCATATAAAAATATCAGAAACAATACCGACCCTGAATGAGATCCCTGGGAAACACAGGAATCAATATAAACAGGGATGGGCAATCCTTCCCCAAATCTTAGTGTAAAATTTCTCCCAGACTGAAAAGAATTGATCCACCCCAGAAGGGGGTTACCTTCTACCTTTTTCGATTTTTTCACCAAGATGTCTCTATGTCAAAGACTTAGAGAAATCTGTGTAAACAGAATGAACACACTGACTGTTCTCCAAATGATTCAGAATGAAAACCTTGTTAAGAACTAAGATGGTAACACTGAGCGTCCTTTCATGAAACCATGATGTTGCTGAAGAATAACATGTTTGAATTAAATACTCAATACATCTGCCAAAGAATCCATAATCTTAGGTATTATAGAGTACTTATTAGGCGATAGTTTTCGATGTACTTACAATCTCCATTTTTAAGCAAGTGAAAAACAAAAGATTGACCACATGGAATAGAGAGAGAGGTTTGGTCAGGGACTGCACTTCTTTAAGAACAATTCAGGGATGCCATAACTCAAGGTTAGAGCACAAGTTTTTTCGTAATGGCCTCAGGTTCAAAAGCAACCAAGTTTAAATCCACTATCTCTCAGAAGAATTAAACCTGGAGCTATTGATGAAGTTTTGTTTAAACAGGGAAGCAAATTCTTCAGCAATTGTGGGGACGATAACATCATGGAACGTTTCATGGGGATAGCCTCTGTTACCTCGCTTACTATTGACAAACGACCAAAACCTTTTGACATCAACGGTAGTGCCAAGCTCAATATTATAAACTTAGGACTTATATAACATGTGAATATCCTTAACTTTGAATCTTCTCTATATTCAGAAAATCGCTTATACTCCTCGTAAGTGCCCATTTTCTTAAATCTTCTGTGCACCCTATTCTTTATCTTCTTTGAACTTCTTAACTTGAAGAACTGTTGAAGAAGTGTTGAAAAGAATCTTCCTTGAACAGTATTAGGGATTTATTTGTCAATAGCATTTTCATACATTTTTTTAAAAGTTGTCAAGATACTCAGAAAGTCTACCCGAGTACAAAACATCCCATTCAACCTGAAGGAAAAAGTCATTAATTAGTACACAGTTCCCTTTATTAAAATTCTTAACAAATCTCGACCTTAATTTATTAAATCTGATGATTTTTATCAAAATACCAATGATGGATAGAGGGGATCCTCACAAACCAGAAAGTTATGCAACTAACATAATCAGAACATTAAATTCCAGGCTTCCAACCCCTCACTATATTTACAAATTAAATTTGGAAGGTGTAGATGACAGGACTTTGAAGCAAATTAATATAAAGCGATTTTTTTTTTTTAATTTACCTTGTCATATTTATAAATACAAATACATCTATTATCTGATTAAAAATAATTCCCATTTATACTTTAACAAAAATCGTAATAGTTTGGTCATTTACAATAATTTTAGTTTGACTAATCTCGCTGATTTGGCCTACATGTTGACGTTTAAGATTGTGAAAAATGTCAGAGCTTACAAATAAGGCCGAATAAAATAACCGGAAATGACCAAAAACAGGGTTCATTACTCTGTAGAGGAAGAAAACCGTCAAAAATAATAGTTTAAGAAATGAGTTATATTGCTTCTGCTTCCAATTCATCATCGCTCAGTTCCAAGATCTACAAAAAGAAAATGAAAATTATATTATTTGTGACTGAGTAACGAAAAGAAAATTACATCTGCCATTTCAGACTGCTTTTGAAGTTCGTCCAGTTCTAACAGTTTCTCCAAATAAGCCGCCGATGCAAAAACTTTACCAAGAAAGTCATTTTTATTGTTAATAAATTCATCCTTCACCTGAAAATACAATAGAAAATTAGTGGACAAATAAATTAAAATTATTTTTTTTAATGGCGTACTATGCATATTAGCCAATGACAGACAATATATTATGTGTATTCGTTTTGGGGGGAAGGGTATCATGAAAAACGCCAGAGGCGACGGTGGGAATTAAACCCACGTCCGCGGAGTTTACAAGCCGAGAGTCTCTCACACTAACCACTTGGCTAACACGCCCTCCCCCATAGAAAATATTAAACTAAACTAAAGTTTCTGTTCTAACATTTTACAATTTTAGACAACTTGCACTTTTATAGAAATTTTCACATAGAATATAATAATTTTGTATTTAAAAAATAAGGGATAAGGCCAATTGAATTTACAAGAAAGAAAACTAATCAATGAAACTTTTTTTAGTGATACTGTTACTCGGGGTAACTTTATGAGCTGTTGTCTCTTTAATGATACTAAGTCGAAATTTAAGATATGTGTCCGAGGGTTCTGTCCAGTGGGCCCCAGGAGCCAAGAAAAAATAATTAAAATGAAGAAAAATTTAGTACTAGGCATTCCACAGCTGGTGAATGTGGTCACTGTGGTACATCTGCGGGCAGGCTTGGCTCTGGGGGCTCTCTGACCCATGAATCAGGGCTGGTAGGGGGAGGCTAAGTAACTAACTGCCTTGGTTTGGTGGTCAGGGGGAGCTGGAGAATTGGGCGGTATTTAGTACTTAGTTTTTTTTTTTCTAAACTTCATTCAAATTATGAATGATGTTCTAGTAAAAGTCTCTTATAGTTTTCTACCTTTAAGTTTTTTTTTTGTGTGGATAAATTAAACTGATATTTGAGGAAAAAACAATTTTTTACATTTTCATAAGAAACTGAATTTTGGACATTGTGTAACCGTTGTTCTTCAAATTTAGAAATTGTCCTTTTTTTCCTGCTCCGAGTGTGTGTGTGTGTGTTTTGACAAAACTTACACCGTTTTTTCCTGCATTTTATATTTTGTGGACCTCTTTCGGGTTGAACATCAATTGTGGCTTCTTTTGTAATATTTTTCTTTGCATTCGGTACATTTATTTGTAACTACTTAAACTGGCTTTCTAAATATTTCCTTACCATTTTTTTTTTTTAATGACCTTAAGGGCTTGCATATTACCCAGTGTAAAATTGATTTAATAATTTCATTGTATATAATTGAACCCCCAGTCTATCATGCTGACCATTTGGCTATCATGGTCATCATCCCTCCTTACCATACTTTGAGGAGTATGTTTGCACAATACACTGCCTAAAATCTCTATGTGTAAAGGAATTATTTCTTCTAAATCTTTTATAAAAGAGCTATAATTTGGTATACTATTTTTTTTCTCACTGGAACTCTCAACACGACACACAGTGACCCATCTTCACAGAAAACAAACACTTTGAGTGAGTACAAATACTTTGAGATTAAAATATCTATCATAACAATGTTCTGAAGATGATCTCAGTAAAGATCGATATGTTGGCATGACAAAGAAAATGTTTTTTTAAACCTACATCACACCAGACTGCATTTCACGATCTCCACATAATCAAATTTTTTTTTTAAACTTGAAGGTGACAGGTCTGTAAGTTTTTGAATATAGTATTACTGAATAAAACTATACACGTACTTCTATTAGAATGGCAAAGAAATAGAAAATATAGAAAGAAAAATAAACTTTATTTTGGCTATGGGTGTTTGAGGGTTAAATATTTAATTGATGATGGCAATAATGTCAAAATTTATCTTCACATCGCTTCAAAGTTTTATCTATTTATGTAGCACAAAATATAAATAAAACCATGTGTTTTATTGTTCATTCAGATTTTATGTTTCATGTTTCGTCTCAAATTGAGGAACCAGTGGTTGTACACAGACAGATAAGAATAAGTGAAATGAATAATTAAATGTGTGGTGATTACTGACCGTTAATCGATATTTATTTAGAAATCGTGAGATGCAGTCTGGTGTGATGTAGGTTTCAGAAAAACATTTTCTTTATCGTGCCAACGTTTCGATCTTTATTGAGATCATCTTCAAGGCCTGGGATTTACAAACATTATTTACATATAACAATTACTTTTGGATGTGTTAAAGTGAATTTATACAATGCAAAATATATTTTTTTTTATATATTCAATCAAAGTATTTCTTCTCGAGTAAAGCAACATATCTATGATTGCAAAAAACCTAAGCAAAATCCTACAGAACTCGCTACCCACACCAACACAATTTCGCCTTCAAAAATCCAAAAGTATTACACACAGAACAAAACAAACATAAACGTAATTTCTTAGAAATGGTTTAAATCAACAGAGATAAACGCAGCATCAATTATAGAACAGATACATGTAAACTCAGTCACAGCTACGCCAATATCATTAATCAAATTCAATACAGATAACATACCTATATCATCACATTACATTCCACACATCAAATCTTTTTCACATAGTTTAATTTCCCAACAATTTAGCTTTCCTTTTCCTATTTATCCCTTTCTATCTAATCCTGAAAGGATAATCTGGCCGAACCATTACCAACACATTTTTTCCCTTCGACGGCTCTTTTCACCTCAAAGAAGCTGACGCCTTATACAAAAATGTCTTTTCTATACCGACATCCTTCCCCACCCCTTCAAAATCCAATGTATATAAACACAAAATAGCAAAATCTCACTGGCACATGACACACAAGAATGGCACAATTACATAGAAGACAAACACTTTGAGTGAGTAGAAATACTTTGATTGAATATATAAAAAATATATTTTGCATTGTATAAATTCACTTTTCCACATCCAAAATGTAA